TCTCTCCTCTCAACTTACATTTAACCGTTCTTGTTTGTTTCTTAAGTCAACTTAAAGCAAAGAAATGGAAGAGCCGGTCATTGTAACTGCTTACTCTCACTCCTTAGCTCCCCAGGTAGGATGTGTTCCCCAAACACAACATTTTTATATTTATAAGGCAATTTAGTTATGATTAATTTCATGTCCTAGTTAGAACTCACATTTTGGTTAAATCCTCAGTTTCACTTAAAAAGTCAGGGTTTCTTAAGAGTGAATTCAGCAAAAGGAAAGTAGATAATTGATCATACTTTTCTAGGGAAAAGATCTTCCTCACAATGGAGGCTGGGCTGTTTGGGTGTGATAAAAAAATAGAGCAACTTACTTAACTATGATGAAACAGATAAGCAAGTGTCTTTCAAAAAAATAAAACAGGGCTCTGCATGATCTTAATAGTACAAACTCTAGGAAAAAAGGGAATTTCATGTTAGTTCACAGTTGACTGTCTAGGATAAACTGAAAAGTGAAAGCTGTGGTAAGTGACCTACACATATTGCACTTTTCTTTTTTTATTTTTTAATGAAATATGTACATTCAGAAAAGTGCACAAATCATTGTTTATGGCTCAATGGATTTTCACAAAGTGAATATATCCAGTAACCATCCAGTCCGATGCATCATATGTATATATTGCATCTACTGCATACATGTACATTGCATCTAGATTACTCATCGTACCAACCATCGACTGTAAATACCAAGAATATTTATTTGTGTTCATGTATGTAAGAAGATTGAGATTTAACAGGATATTATAGTAGAGTTTAATTCTACTTTCAGGGGTTGTTGTTTTCACCTTTTGTGTATTTTAAACATCTGGCTTCACAGTGATTCTTTTGAAATGTAGAAGAGGCGAATATCCCAGAGTTTCAGGTGGTAGACAGCAAAGCATATACTTTGTTGATCTCACACACAGATCCATCATTTAGTTCTGTTGTCCAACCTGATTGAGGCCATTAATGTTGGTTTTTAAAATATTGTATTTGTTAAAAGGAGGATAATTTTTTATAACGGGGAAAAAACCCTGGTGCGTAACAAGACATCTAAAGTGCTGCAGTACTGCAAACAGAACGTAAGGAAGGAACTAACTTTAAAGAAACAAAGTTTCTTAAATTAAGTACCATGACTAAGTACTTTAATTCCTTTTCTTTTAGTCCTAAAGGATCATTTGACGTTGAACTTTTTAACTTAAAGAGGAGTAGCCTGAAAGCCTGAACTCTCCACTACCCTGTGGGGGTGCGGGTCTCCCAGCCCTGCGGGGTGAGGCGGGACCATCCTGGGCCTCCCCGCATCCCCCCTTCCCTCCTCCTCCCCTGCTATCGCCCTCGCCCCCTCCCTCCTCCCGTGACCTCTGACCCCAGCTAATCTGCATAGAGGAATGACAGGCATCCGCTGGGCAGGATCCGCCGCGCCGGCTGCGGCCGGCCGGGCTGGAAGACCCGCGCAGGGGAGAAGGTGAGGGGACCGGGCGGGCAGCTCTGCACAGGCCGGGAAATGAACTCTTGGAAATCTGGCCGGGAGCGGACCCATGACCGAAGGACCAAAAGAGCCTCGTGATCGCTGGACCTGGCCCTGCGACCCCAGCCATGGGCCAGACCTCGGTCTCCACGCTGTCCCCGCAGCCCGGCAGCGGTGAGTCCGGGGCGCGCGCGATGCGCTCCCGCCGCGCGGGCGCGGGGCTTGCTGCGGGCCCCCGGGACAGGCCAGGGCTCGTCGACTCGTCGGGTTCCGCTCGGACCCGCCAAGTCCCTCGGAGAAACCCCAGAGGTAGCGCTCGCCAAACTCTTTGTCGTGAAAGTGGAATGCCTGTTGGGATCCAGCCGATTTTACCTTAAAGGCACAGGCTCCATTTTCTGTGCGCGATGCCTCGCTGTGGTTTTTCTCCAAATTACTTCGGAGCCAGAAACTTACGGGAAACGCCATTTGCGTGTTACTTTGTTTTTAAAAACGCGAAACTTAGAGAGCAAGAGCAACATGCCAACAGGTTTTTGTGTATTTACGCTTGGCTTCCGAACAAACTAGAACTGAAATTCTTTCAAGCTTGTCAACTGATTTATGGTTTGTTATTCGGAGTAGAAGTGCTGATTGCCTTCTCTTATCCTGGCAGAACCCTGAATACTTAATAACTACCCAAAAATGAGTAATTGTTTCAAATGATACTTGTTTATGTTAGACACAGAAGCTGTAAAATGTAGGGAAACATAGCTCGTGAACTTACTTGTCGAGGGCTAAAGTTCGTTTTATGGAAACGTGTAACGTTTCCTAGTTATGATGCAGTTTTTAAAGTTTCTTCTTTCCATTTGCTTAAACAATAAAGGGGAAGGAAGGTACATCTGGCATTTCCCCAACAGTGTAGGGATAAACAACTGTTTGGTGGCGTTATTCGTGATTGGATAATGAAATAAATTTAAAAGGTATTATTTTGATAGTTTCCCATCAACAATTTAAAAAAAAACTTCAAAGGAATCATTTACGTTGTTCATTGAGATATTTGATACACTTTTTAAATTGTGCAAACATCAACAGGATCTTGCTGAAAGGAAATGACAAGGCACTGAGGAAGGCTTTTTAATCTGCCCCACAATGCCTAACTAGGTAGCATTCTATCATCCCACCCCCCCATACATGCCCCCTCCACCTTGCCCCCAATGGGTTGATTTATGTTGCACAGATTCTCCCTCTGAAATATCACAAGCTTTGCTGAGGCTTAGGTTAATGCCAGAGGAGAATGATCCCTCTGCAAAGGAGAGAAATCAGAATCCCAAAGAGATTACAGTGTAACTTCCCTTACTGTTAATGACATGCTTACAGTGCTCTGAACATCAAAAAGACTTCATATTGATGGCTTTTGAAAAAACTTTTTGGGCTGTTGACTCAGATTTTAAACTTAGTGTTTTGTACAAGTAAGACTTGGTTTCCTTTGTCTGAACTTAAAGCAGTGTGACTTTTTTCCTTTTCCTTTCAAGGAAGAGTTATATTTTTAAATTTCTCCATTGGCAAAGATAGAATTAAATCAGGACTCCAACACAACAGGTATACAGAAAGTACGCTCCTGAATTTAGTTCTTTTATCACAAAATATTATTTGAGTGAATATTAGAAAAGTAAATTTTGCCTTTACAAAAATCAAGGAATATTACGTAAATGATGTCTAAGTAGCAAGTAGAATCCTAAAGTGTGTCGCCCTACCTCTTACCCAATACAGCAAAAACTACACAGATTGCTATAATTCCTAATCAAATGACCAGTTATATGAGGAGATTGTGCACTCTATTTAAATAAAAAGTGATTTAAATGAAAAATTATGCTTGAAATACGTCACAGAATGGTGTTAAACTAAATCGCAGGTCCTCAGTTTTGTGGATTAAAAGTTTGTATAAACTGTAATGACCAATCCATACATAGAGGGTTTTTTGTTTTGTCGGTTAAGGTATGCTAGTGGTTATCGCTTAAGTTGTGATGTTTTTGAGAAAGTGCAACAGTTTTCTCATGGTATCTACTTAGGATCTCTTAAGTCTATTAGCATTATTCCATTTCCCTGAAGGTTTGCCATCAGATTCTAAACAAAAACAAAAGAATAACATTTGATGAGTTTCATATTCATGCCTGTATTCTTCTCTGAGTCTGAGAATGTCAGACCCTCTACTATTCCAAGTATTTTGTTCACTCCTTGTTAGCTGTTTAACTCTGGCTTTACAGATGGTGTGAAGATCCTTGTTCTGTTTGATCTTGGCCAGCAACTAGTTGTTTAAGTCTGGGGCAGCTGCTAGGAATTACAGTATTAAAGATGATTCTCCTCTTAAATGCTTAGTGGGGGGAAATCTGTTTGAGTCGAAGGAATCAATAGCACAGAGTTTAATAATTCATACTTACTGCTCAATTTGGGCTTTTGTAAAACACTTCAGTGTAGGTCAGAGGTTAGCTTGCTTTTGCCTCTTTTGACTTCAGGCTCTCTTGAGCCTTTCAGTTGGGCTGCACCTATTTCTCTGGGTTCAAGGAGGACCATTAATAATTATTTCTGCAAATCTGCAGCTAGATCCATTGTTTCTATTTTTAAAAACGGTTTTGTTGACATAAAATTCATATACCATAACATTCACCCATTGAAAATGTACAATTCATTGTTTTTTAGGATATTCACAGTGTTGTACAACCGTCAATCCCTATTCCCGCCCTATTCACCCAGCCCCCTCCACTGTAATTAAACACTAATCTATTTTTTGTCTCCATAGATTTGCATATTCAGAATATTTCATGTCAATGGCATCATATAATGTGTCATTTTGTCATTGGCTTCTTCCACTTAGTATAATGTTTTCAAGAATCATCCGTGTGTAGCATTTATCAGTACTTCATTTTTTTATTGCCAAATAACATTCCACTATATGACTATACCACATTTCATTTATCCATTTATCAGTTGATGGATATTTGGCCCATTTCTACTTTTTGGCTATTATGAACTTTATGTACAAGTTGTTGGCAAAGATACGTTTTCATTTCTCTTGGGTATATATCTAGGAGTGGAATAGCTAGGTCTTATGGTAGATAATTCTGTTTAATCTTTTAAGGAATTGCCAAACAGTTTTCTAGAGAAGCTGTACAATTTTATTATACATTCCCTCCAGCAGTGTATGTGGGTTCCTATTTCTCCACATCCTTACCAACACTTAAGTTATCTTATTAGGCGTGAGGCTATATCTGATTGTGGTTTTGATTTTGCATTAGTAGCTTTTAATTACTAATGACATTGAGCATCTTTTCATGTGCTTATTGGCCATTTGTATTTTCTGTCTTCTTTGGGAAAATGTCTGTTCAGATTCTTTGTGTAGTTTTAATTGGATAATTTGACTTCCTATGGGGTTTTAAGAGTTCTTTATATACTAGATGCAAATCCCTTGTTAGATAATATGATTTGCAAATATTAATATTTTCTACCTTTCTCTGGGTTGTCTTTTCATATTATAGTATAATTTGCTACTCAGAGTATTTAAGTTTTGATGATATCCAGTTTATCTATTTTTTCTTTTGTTGTTTGTGTTTTCGGTGTCATACCTAAGAAACCATTGCCTAACCAAGGCCAAAAACACTTACATCTATGTTTTCTTCCAAGAATTTTATAGTTTTAGCTCTTACATTTAGGTCAGTGATACATTTTGAGTTAATTATTATCTATGGTGTGATGTAGGGTTTCAAATTCGTTCTTTTGCATATGAACATTCAGTAGTCCTAGCACCATTTGTTGAAAAGATGATTCTTTTTCCATTGAATTGTGTTGCCACCATTGTCAAAAATTGATTTTGTATGTAAGGGTTTATTTCTGGACTCTGAATTCTATCCCATTGTCTGTTCTTATGCCAGTATCACTGTTGAGATTAATATAGATTGTAGTAAGTTTTGAAACTTGGAAGTGTGAGTCTTCCAATTTTCTTCTTCTTTTGAAAGATTCTTTCGGCTATTCTGGTTCCGTTGCGTTTCCATATGAATTTTACAATCAACTTATCAATTTCTGCACAAAAGCCAGTTGGGATTTTAATAGGAATTGTGTTGGACCTGTAGATCAATTTGGGTAATATTGCCATCTTAACCATATGAAGTCTTCCAATCCATGAACATGGATATCTTTCCATTGTTTTAGATCTTCTTTTCCACAATTTTGTAGTTTCAGTATATGTCTTATTTTCCTTTGTTAAATTTATCCGTAAGTATTTTATTATTTTTGATGCTATTATAAATAAAATTGTGTTCTTATTTTACTTTTGGAATGTTCAGTGCTAGTGTATAGAAATACAAAAATTGATTTTTATATATTGGTCTTGTACCTTGCTGCCTTGCTGAATTCAGTTTTTAGCCCTAATAGTTTTTCAGTGAATTCCTTAGGAATTTCTATATACAAGGTTGTATACAAGATCTATATATGAGGTCATATGCAGAGAGAGAAAATTTTATTTCTTTCTTTTCAATTTGAATGCCTTTTATTTTTTTCCTTATCTAATAATTCTGGCTTGAAACTTTAGTCTAATGTTAAAGTTTTCTTCTTCTGATATAAGGAAAGAAGCAATCAATCTTTTGCCATTAAGTGTAATATTAGCTATGGGTTTTTTCATAGTTGCCTTGTCAAAAGTTCTCTATTCTTAGTTTGTCAGTATCACATCATGAAAGACTGTTGGATTTTGTCAAAGGCTTTTTTTGCCACTGTTGAGATAATCATATGTTGTTTGTCCTTTGTTCTATTAATCTGGCATGTTATATTAATCGATTTTCAGATGTTAAACCAACCTTGCATTCCTGGAATAAATCCCACTTGGGTATGGTGTATAATCCTTTCTGTATGTTGCCAGATTAGATTTGCTAGTATTTTATTGAGGATTGGATCCATTATTTCTAAGCACAGGCTAAAAATATATGCACCCAAATAGGGAGGGTCCACTGGCCACATATCCTGGGAGGATTGAGACTTCTGGTATTGCCATTGACAAATATAGAGGTTGGACACAATAAATTTTTGTTAAATATATGAATGAGTCAACAAATAATCTCATTGAACAGACTGACTAATGGTTATGTGAATGAGAGTATGTATTCTTTTTATTCTTTTTTTACTTCATGAAACTCTGGCTCTATTGTCTGAAG